GGCTGTAGCAGCTACCGCTGCTGATGGGGTGTTCAGTGGGCGGGGAGGCCAGGGAGCAGAGATGGGTCTGGGGGGTGCCTGGGGGAGAGGGCACAGTGGGGGTGGGAAGAGGCAGCATAAAGGGGGATTTGGGGAGAGGAGGGCACAGAAGTGGGGCGAGACAAGGGGAGGGGGCGGAGCATCCCTGGGAACACCAGCCCCCAGCGCCTGGGGCTGTATTTAGAGGGCACCCGGCAAACCCGGCGGCAGGGAGTCTGGGCGCTGGATCCCTCCGGCCTGGGCACAGAACAGGTACGTGCCGGACACGGGGAAACGCAGGGGACAGATCCGGGGCAAACCCGGAGCTCTGGGGAGAGGGAGCCAGGGCCTGGGCCCTGCCCAAAGCGGGTGACTGGGATTGCGGGGGGGCAGGGGAGGTGCCCAGCAGGGGGCAGAGGAGGGAACTTCAAACCCAACAGAGACACTGCAGAGCTGACTCCACCGCCCTGGTGTCTCCCCTTCTGTCCCCCCAGCACTGACCCCTCTGAGCCCTGAACCCCCGATCTCCTCCTTCACCCCCTTCCTACTCCACCTGCCCCCCCACATCTCCCACCACTCCCCATTGCCCCAGCGCCCCTGCCCCAGGAATCGTTCCTGCCTGGCCCCACATCCCAGCACGCACATGGGGGCAAGGTGAGGGGCAGAGACCCCCCAATTCTATGCACACACCCAGCAGAGGGACTTGTTCCAGCTGCCTCCCCCCTCCGATGATCCTGGCACACACGGGGGCGAGAGAGGGACTCAGAGCCACCCACATCCTGGAGCAGACACAGGTCGGGGGCTCAGGGCCGTGTGTGTCAGGAGCCGAGGGAGGGGTCCCTCTGCTCTGCCCCCTTGTCTCTTTCCCAGTGTCCTGGCTCTCCCCACGCCCGGAATCCTAGGGCGGGTGAGAGTCACCCTGAAGTTGCCCAAGGGGGCAAAGTGCCAGGGGCGGTGGGTGTGACGTGTCGGGATTCTAATGTGAACACACTAAACCCATCTGCAACCCCTGGGCTCCGTGGGGTACAAGTGGGCTCCGTGGGGTACAAGTGGGCTCCGTGGGTGTCTAGGGAAAGCTTGTGCGTTGCTGCGTCTGTCTGTCCTGCTCCCCTGCCTGTGGGCTGTGTGCGGAGGGGAGGCGTGTCGGCTCCGTGCTGGCCACCGCCCTGGTGTCTCCCCTTCTGTCCCCCCAGCACTGACCCCTCTGAGCCCTGAACCCCCGATCTCCTCCTTCACCCCCTTTCTACTCCACCTGCCCCCCCACATCTCCCACCACTCCCCATTGCCCCAGCGCCCCTGCCCCAGGAATCGTTCCTGCCTGGCCCCACATCCCAGCACACACACGGGGGCAAGATGAGGGGCAGAGGCCCCCCAATTCTATGCACACAGCCAGGGCAGAGGGCCTCGTTCCCCCCCCCCCCCCCCCCGCTCAGCCCGCC